TTTTACATTGAGTTGATTTTAAGTTATGAGATTTTCTCACCTAATAAACTAATTTTTTTGGGTTTGATTCTCCTCATGTGCTTAAATCCTAACAATTGATGTTGTTATCCCACAAAAAGGCTATTTATAGGGTGAATTAAGTTACATTATCGAATACTATACGAATAGGTGAATCTCGTGAACGTCGACCTTTAAAGGGTGAGACAATATTAGGAGTATCACATTGAGTAGAATAACAAAACTCAATGTGGTACTTAAACGAAAAGCATTTACCCAATTAGGAAGGGCACACATTGCTGTAGGTATGACCCCATATAAGGGAATGGGGCTGCTAAACATCACTCTCAGCTTTATATGGGTCAATAGAGACTTAAAGTCAACTCAACATAGCTTGTCCAATTACCAATTAAGTGTTAGTCGATAATATTTATTGAAAGGGTAGAAACATATCTTAAAAATAATTAATTCATTTTTCATATAATGTATAGGATTAGGAGATATTATTGATTATAGAAAAACATGTGAATTTTTTATTTCATTTAATTTGATTTACCTTATGTTGCATTTTTTAAGATTATCATATGCTATTCACATAGGCATGCAGTAATTAGTTACTGTATGTTATTTAGAGCATGATTTTCTTTCTATATTATTTATATCTATACTATTAATAAAGCCAAAATCTAAAATAATTATTCATCATGGTGTAATTAATTATTTCTTATTTTGCTCTCACTATATTCTAATTTCTACCAAAAAAATCATATAATTCAATGCAAATTATAATATATTTAACTGCAATTATAGTATATCTAACAATTCATTTATCACACATAAAGCACATGTTATAAAACAATAGGAAAACGGGTTAATTAACACTACAATACCTACCAACACGCTAGTATGTATGATAGTGGGAGATAATACTTCTAGCCAAGTAAATTTTGAAACATAGTAGACTTAGTTCTTTCTGCATAATTTACCTCAATCACTAAATTCAAACTTAATTAACATATGCATAAAAAATTATCATATTCTTATCATCTATGTAAAATTAAATATACATTATTACTAATAATAAATTTTATATACTCTATTTATAAATTTAATCTACATTTACATAAATTTTATTTATGACCACATTAATCACTAATGTCAAGTTTATTGAATTAAACATTTTTGTTGTATAGTCTCTTACTAGTTATTATAATAATATAAATTAGTTATACAAAATTAAAGTTTCTTATATCACATAAACATGATATCCAACAAAATTAATAAAAAAATAATATAATATACCAACTTATAAAGTTTTTTATATTATTTGTACATTTTTCTTCATTCATAAATATTATTTCCATTAAATAATCAATAATTATTAACACAAATAATTTATCAAACATATGTTCACACTCTCTTTTAATGCATATACTCATTTTTCAATTAATAAGATAGTAACATGAACGGTGAAGAAAATTAATATATAGTCATTATTAATATATATTTTTTGTGTTAGAATAATATCATTAATATGTGTTACTTTTGTTTAAAATTTAATGGCTAATAACAAATAAATAATGAAAGAGATTAATATTTATGCACTACTAATATAAAATATTTTTGGTTGAAAGGACATCATCCAATATATATTAATTTTATTTTAAATTTAATTATTGTTAATATATAAATAATGAATACATACTACTAGTAAAAAAATAGTAAAATAAAATGATGTGACAATAGTTTAGTAATTATATTAATAATATATTACATGATTCAATTTACATAGTCCTTTTGATAAGGAATGGAAAATTGAGTGAGTATAATTGAGTACCTTATTTATACATCTACTTTATACTATTGGCAAGGAGGCTAGTAAAGAGGAGGAAATTGAAAAGGTTAACACATATATGAAGATTTAAAAAAGACGCTCATATTTTATTTTTGATTAAATACATATTTCACCCTTCCTGCTTTTCGATCTTACCAGTTTGATCTTTCAAAAATTGGCAAACAAAAAATAGTCTACAAAATTGTAAATATTGGTCAAATTAGTTAATATATGGTGTCGTTCTAAAAAGACTAATTTGATCTACTTTTAAAAAATTTAGAAACCATTTTGCGCTTTCAATTTTTGAAGAGCTAAATTGGTAAGGTCGAAAATCATAAGAGACTGAAATGTGTATTTATTCTTTATTTTTATCTTTCCTTATTCATTTTCTAAGTAGAGATTGTCTTTATTTTGTCCAACTTATTTTGAGAATTGAGACATTCAAATTTCTCCTCCCTCTTAATAAAATAATGTACCCTATTTCTTATATCTTTCTTTCTCTTTCTCATCATTCTACATTTTCTCATTTTCCCATTTTCCCATTTTCCATTCTTAACCCCAAAAAAATCCTACAACAATATCCACGACCCATGTATGCAATATAATTTGAATATCAATCATAACTTCTATTACGTGTTAACACTTATTTGAATCGTGGGTTCCATTCACTTTTGACACCTTCCAACATCATGGTTCTACATCTTCTTTCATTCTTTATAATTCATGCTTAATCTATGCTTCTATTAGTGTAAATATTTGTACAAATCACAATTCATTTTGTATAATTTTTATGTAAAAATCAATAATAATTAAGTTTTAACATTGGATGATGCTCTGTTATTTATTTATATATAAAGTTGGCATTTGATGTAATTTAAGACAAGGCTTAAAAAGAAGTGAAGGATTAAGTAACTTTTTATAGTTCACTTTCCATCTACGTTAATAAAATGGTAGCCACAGACTCCTAAACCTAACCTGAGTAAATGTTAATTTGTTGTAATATTAATTCATTAAAAAGATTAAATTAAATATATTCTCACCTCTTGCCAAGTTGCATCGATCTTTGTTATACAATATAGATATCTAATAAAAGTAGTATTACTATTTGTTTATCAACTTTTATGTCAAATGGTGCACAAAATGTTGTCTATGAAGTGGTGGGATTAGAATTGAACTTATTTAATTAAACATGTTTAGGTAAATTGGATGTAACCATATCAATAATTTATTTAGAAAAAAATGTTATATGATGGATGTTTTCTAGCATTATTAAAAAGGGATCTAATGAACCTGTTCCATCAAAACCACCTCTTTTCTATGCACAATTTTACGATTAATTTATTTAGGTGTACCTTCCATATCTCTAATAATATCATGATTATTAATGTAAAGGTGCTGTGGTTATGTGGGATTATTTTATTTTATATTAGCTGTGAGCAATTGCATGGGTTTGGGAAGAGCTTTTTAGGCTTATTTATGGGCTGCATTTGACTTAACAACTAGCCCATGTTAAGGTAGACTTGGAAAAAAGTGGTTCTATGATTTTGTATGCATTTAATTATCATTAATGTTTAAATAATATATATTCACATAAATGATAGATTATATATTGTCTATGTAAAATTTACATTAATAATGTATATATATTTTTGATAGAGAGTAGTTATTCTTAAGGTTTCATCTTAAAACCAATTAACAATTAGAGGAGTAGTTCAACATGTATTTAAACTATTCCCCAAACAATGAGGTATGCGATGTGAGCCTTACTTCCCAATATGTTTCCTCCACATCAAAGGGATACATTTGACTCATAATTAAATGACATTTTTTGGTCCATGACAACCAAAAATAAGTTGGGCTCTAACTCTGATATCATGTTAAGGTTTTATCTCAAAACCAAATGGCAATGAGAGGAATAGTCTAACATGTATTTAAACTATTTCCAAGATAATAAGATAGACGATGTAAGACTTACTTTTCAACAAAGCTCTGTAGTACACATTTCACCCCAATTAAGAAAGACTTTTAGATTTTAGTATGTATAACTTTTGAGGGTTCTAGATTTTAGTACTCACCTCATACCATGCTTCAAGAGAACTTTACATCATTGTAGATAAATTATTACATTTCATGATTTTCATCTAAAGCTCTACCAAAAGTTCAAATTACCATTTATAGTCCTTTAATGATGTAATAAGGGAATTCCTATGACATGGATATATAGGATATAAATAATTTAATAACCCACTTACATATCTAAATCATTTATAAATAAAAATGATGATAGTGGAGCAATTTCCATAAATAGCCAATGTTATTAATATCGTACTGGTCATTAAATAGCCAATGGTTATTAATATCTAATTTTAGTAGTAGAAAACAAAAAGTGACTTACCAGATATTTTGAAGTTTTATTTTTTCATTTATTCAACTCTAAACTCAACTTATAAATGGATCTTTACCATACCAACTTGATTATAATATAGGCAAACAAATGTTATGTTGAGTAGTATATTAGTGATATTATAAATGACAAAACTTAGTTAAATTACCATAGGTGCTAGTGGTACAGATAACCTATTAGAGGATGACACGTGAACCTTTTGGTATACTTTCAAGGTTAAAAAATGTTTGATTGCAAATCTAATAAATGTTCATTCCTTGAAAGTATATAAAAAGGTTCACGTGTCATCCTCTAACAGTTCATCTGTACCACTAGCACCTATGGTACTTTAGGTAAGTTTTGTGGAATGACAAATACCTTACTAGGCTAAATTATTTGCACAAGAGAATTATAGAATGATTAATCTATTTGAGGATGAGAACCAAGTGAGACCATGTGCCTTATCTTTGACTCTCATGAGTGACTTTTCTAACCATTCATGCACACAAGACAAGGTGATTCTTGTGTGAAGACCATATCCTTATCGTTGCCTAAGTTATGCCCACAACAATTTTACACGTGTTACACAAATTTTGGATCAGCTTAACGGTGATGTTGAGAATATTATTCCCAGTCCAATGGTAAGAGTTAGGAATGACAATGAAAACTGTACCTTTAAATATATATCTAAACTCGATCTGAATTTAACAGAAAAAATATGATATGATTGGGTTCGATTTGGGTTTTATTCGAGTTCAATTTCCGGATCTGGGTTTTGACACAGTTGATATCCTATCCCAAACATGTCCCGAACCCGATTAATATATGTGAAATTATAAAATTACATATAAATACATATATAAAATCAATATATAGAAATTCGACACACATATATAGAACCTATACATATAGAAATATATGTTTTGGACATATTTTTGTCGGATTCATATATTAAATCATTGTCTTGAATAGTGACTGTTTAATTCAAGCTCGGGTTTTGGATTTCGAGTTTGAGATTAGGTAAGTACAAATCTGACCTGACCTACCATGTTGCTATTCCTACCCAGAGCTCTATAAATAGCGAAAGACCTATGAGCATTGGATCAACACATTCAGATATAGAGTTATATACAATTGAGGTGAAAATAATTAAGGGGTCAATAATGGAGAGGAAATCACTTACTGGACTCTGCTTCTTCCTCATTCTTCTCTTGGCTGCTCGTAAGTCCAATTTTTTATTCCATTATGTTTTCATTTTTATGTGTGTTAGAATTATATTTTTCTTCTCAACCCTGTTTACAATTTGGTCCCTATATCTAAAAAATCAAAATCCAATTTATATGTGTAAAACCATTTTCATTTTGATCATCATTATTGTTGTTATAATACCATTTAACGTAAGCAAAACATATATAAATTGAAAATGATTATTAAGGACGGAAGTGAGAATAATTATGATGTAGAATGACAATATATATATATATATATATATTTAGTCCTCTTATAATTAACAATGGTTTTCAATTTATCTCAATATTATAATTCCAACTAATAGTGTTTACAACAATAATAAATACGAGCCAGATGATTTTTTTAAATCCAGGTCTAAGAAAGATAGATATACGCAATATTAGATCCAGAGTCCGAGAACAAGAACTGCAAGTTATATGGAATAATTCAAGATTTATTAAAATAAGACAAATGAAATAAAATAGATGTAATTTTATATAAATTGTAGTGCAACAAATGTTAACTATAAAGATAATATTTACAAATATCTTTTTTCCTGATGTGCATGTGCATACCGTGATTATAATATGGATGTTGATGTATAATTGTATATAGCTTTATTCTCATAAATAAAAAAACTATCCAGGATTTTAACTTATGATACTTAACTTATGATAAGTGAGGACCAAAAATATACTTGAGTTATGAATAATATATCTTCTTATACCATGAGATAACTTATCTCATCCCACCAGTAAAAGAATGACATGTGTATTGTTTTGTTTAGTTCTAGAAATATTTTTGTAAAAAATGATTAAATGATACACATGTCACGATTTTAGTGGTAGGATGATATAACTTATCTACTTATACCAGTAGATAAATTATTGTGTATATTATATAGTTGAATGTGTATAATTTAGATAAATAAGTGATTAGGCAACCTTTTTGTTTCACTTGGAAAATGCAGAAGAAATGATGGTGCAGAGTGAAGGTTGTGAGAAACCAAGTGCTTTTTTTTCTGGTGGATGTGTTGGGTCATCTGGTAATCGAGAATGTGATTATCTTTGCAGAAGAGGAGAGAATTTACTAAGTGGCTCATGCAAAGGTCTCAAGTGTGTTTGTGCTTGTTGAAACACTACTTAACTCATCACTGTACTACTAAGATATATATATTGATAAATAAACATAGCTATATATATTCAGGTATATATAGCTAGTTCATAATGTTCATGAAATAAAGTTTAAGTTAATTCTCTTACCTTTGGGGACATGAGAATTAATTAGTATTGGACTATGTATACAATGTATATCTCATGCTAGCTAGCTTGTTGGCATGCTCATCTTGCTCTATATGATATATATTGTGAATTAATGCTTTGTGTTGTTTATTGGTAAAGAAACAACTTAATCTAGGATAAAGATCTACGGTCCCAAAACATGTCATAAATAGCAAAAGTCATAAATATTTAATATTTTAATTGAAATAACATATTTTCATTAATCCGGGATATGCTTGAGGACATACTTTGGAACAATAGATCCTTATCCCTTAATTTACCCCTAACAGATAAACTTCATGAATACTGAAAATATGGAGAACCTATTCATATATCAGCATTTTTTTCTCAAGGGAGCTAAAACCTCAACAATTCAAGCTCCCCAAATTCAAGATTCCATATGGAAAATGATATATTCTCATATTAAATTATTCTACTAATCTTACTACCTACAAGAAAATTACTTTGGCTAGATGATACTATATTTATTATTCATTGTGCGTGTGATATTAAGTATTAGAAAATGCATTTATCCATGAAGTATTAATCAACTTGAATATATAATTACCAACTTATAGCTTTCAATATTAAAATTTCAATTTTAAATGCTAGATATATAGACATCAAATTTTATATAGAATCAATAAAGATAAAAATAAATACAACCTAAATAATAATACTTTATAACTAAAGCAACCATGAATTGAAATTTTGGTTATACGTGGTGCATTGGCATTTTCAATTTGTTCATAAGGAGAGAAAGGGAAATGGAAAATGTGTTGATGTATGAGTACAACGTAATGGTCCAATTTATAGGACAAATGTATAATAAAATAAACATAAAACACAATTAAATAACATGATATAGAATGAAATGAAATTATCTCAAATATCTTTTGATATCTTTCACTATCTTTAATTTGTACAAATATATGGAATTTGTCATATATAATTGAGTTTAGTATAGATAGTAAAAAATATTTTAGATGCATAATCTATCATTCATTTAATAATTATTATTATTGATTCTTAAATAGAAGTAATATGGATAAATAATATATATACCAAACGTGTAAAAAAACATTACATTATCATTACATATAGATTAAAAGAAAAAATGTATGCACTAATAGTGTATGAGTTTTATATAATGTTAATATATCACTTATCATTCATGTTTTATTATCATTAACTCTTCAAATAAAGTAATACCAATAAATAGTAGAAGACGAATGATATATTAATTGTGTATGGATTTTTACACTAACAATATATATATATATATATTACATACACTCTTTATTAAATAAACATGACCCCTATTCAAATATTCAATTCTGCCACAGCATTGGATTAGTATGTATGGCCATAGATTTTCATTTGTGGCCCTTTTACCATATCCAAAGTTGTATTGATAAGTTGCATCCAAAATGCCATAATTCCTCAAGAGATTTCATGCAACCTATAATATATGTTGGCCCAAATGAAAGATATTTAATTTTCATTTATATGAAAAGATCACTATCAAAAGGGTCATGCTGAAACTGCACAAACTTTACACAATCTTACCACTCATCACATGTTTTTATTTTCACATACACTTGTTTGTAGAACTAGAGGTAAAAAAATAAGAGTGAGACTTCTCTCTATTACTAGAAAAGAAAATAAAAGAAAGACAACATGCATTAACATTTCTTTATTTTTTTTATCTAAACTTATATTTTATTTGTACCCATAAAACTCAAATAAAATAATTATTTCTCTATATTACCTGAGATAAGTCTCATTCAAAAAGCAATGGATAAGAACTAAGGAAAAGTGTTAAAGGACTAAAGGAGCATGTGGCAAAAGGTGCTTGCTATCATTTGATCCAAAGTAATTCTTGCTTCAATGTATCTTTACCTTCAATAGCATGGACCAAACTTTTCTCATTTTTTTCATGCACATCAAGTACTTATGTACTTGGGCTAAGATGAAACTGAAAAAGTCTGAAACTTCAGATAATCCAAGCAAATAATGAAAGAGTATACAATGATAAAAGTAAATATCTCTTTCATTTTTTGTCAAATAATATCTATATATATAACGTTAGTGTAGAGATTTATATAAAATTATTATATCATCAATTGTTAATTTGAATTACTTTTTTGAAGAATCAATCATTATTAAATATGAATGATGTAATAATAATGAATAAGTAAGTATATACTACTAATAATTATGTGAAACATAATCTTCACATGAAAATAAATATGATGGATGGTCTTTATAGAACTAACTGCATTTTGTTATATTTAATAGAAGACGTTGTGTTATTTATGTTAGTGTGAAAGGTTTGGTGTACCTAAGCATATAATGTGCTGTCACGTTTATTTATACCTGACTCACATGATTTATAAGTCCAAATTAAAAGGTGAAATAATAATATTTATTATTCTTTCAAGCCTTTATTGTTGCTTCTAATCATGTTCTAACCTTACATTAATTATTATTTTTAGTTGTATCCTCCTATCTGCATAGTTATTGCTTGCTACACCACATGAACCTTTTTTGGACATAGTCTTATTTTCATGGATGGGACATCAAAGTTTCATTAAAGTCATCTTTAAATATAGTAGATGTATTGAAATATAAAATTTATATCAAAAAGTTATATTTTTTTCTTCATATTATCTATTTGATCAATTATATTTTTGTAAAAAGCTTTGTGTTTTATAAAAAGAGTGATAAATTGATTCCTTCAATTTTTTTTTACAAATTGTTTTGCTATGTAAAAGCTCTCAAACATGAAAAGTGTTCCATTAAAAGGACTAAGATATCTCAGTTTTGAATTTTTTTGGAAACTAATTTATATATATATATATATAAATCGTCGGTTTTTACCGGTTTTATTGCTTATCCGGTATAACACTTGTGCCGTATTGATTAGGGGTCTAATTCGTTGATTTTCCAGTCAAACTGGTTGGTACGATATGATTTTTATAACCATGGACTAAAGTGATATAAATAAAAATATTGAGGGACTAATTTGAATCTTCATTCCAATCGGGAGATAATCATTATGAAAGAAAAAAATAGTTAATAATGTGTAGTTGAAAAAAAATATATAAAATTTTTATGCATTTTTTTTACCTTAAAAAATTTGTTTTTTTAGGACAGAATCGCCTTTAGAAGCGGTCTTGTCCTCTAAATCTATTTTCATTTTCAGCCTCTTTTCTTCTTCTTCCTCCCATTTCTCTCAAATTAGGGTTTTGAATCCTCCAAATTCCCAAATCAATTTTACCATCAATCAACATCACCCGTTTCCTGTTCAACGACATCATTTCAAGATGATGCCCCCGGACCTCGTTTCCAATCTCCAAGAAGCTCTTCTCAACAGAAAAGGTGTTCAACCACAACACCAAGAACAAGAATCAAATGACAATGCTGAAACCTCAGAACCTGTTGAAGTTGAAATCGATCCTTTAAAGCCTATTATTTTGGTCATAAACAGTGATGGGGTTGATTCCCCTGGCCTCACAAACATAGTTGAAGCTCTTGTTCGTGAAGGCCTTTACAATGTTCATGTCTGCGTTCCTCAATCGTGGGTCTTTTTTTGTTGTTGTATAATTTTATAAATTTTCAATTTTTGGTTTGTGGGTTATCTTTATGTGAGTTAGTTTGTTAAAAAGTTTGGAATTTTTTATGGTGTTTGTTGTTATTGAATCTGGGGTATGTTTGTAAATTTTGTTGCTTCAGGGATAAATCAGTTTCAGGTCACTCTGTAACTCTCAGAGAAACTGTGGAAGCGAGTTCTGCTAATATTAGTGGTGCCACTGCCTTTGAAATTTCAGGTATCTTTGTTTTTTCCATTCCCCATATAATTTTGATGCATTTATGGTGTAGACTTAATATGATTCTAATGCAATGGAGTTAAATAAATTTATTCGTAAAAATATATAATTCAGGAACTCCTGTGGATTGTGTTTCACTAGCATTATCAGGGGCATTGTTTTCGTGGTCAAAGCCTACGATGGTTAGCATTTATATCATACAAATGCGAGTTATGTGTGTGCTTATTTCTCCTAAAAGCACTGAAGATTTATGGATCACAATGTGATTTCAATTTCAGGTTATTAGTGGGATTAACCGTGGATCAAGCTGTGGTCATCACATGTATGTTCTTCAATTTTGGTTGAGGGTAGATATAAAAATATGTAAATTTAACTAAGTACACTATTTCCACCTCCCCCTTTCAATATTTCTAGCTTGGTTTCATTTAAAGATGTGAGTATATTTTCCTGAATTTGTATCCCATATATTTAGAGCAATGTTTATCTCATGCTTTAAATTACACTAGGTTCTACTCTGGTGTTGTTGCTGGAGCTAGAGAAGCATTATTATGCGGTGTACCATCATTGTCAATA